TTTTTTTTTGTTTTTTGGGTTTTTTTTTCCTTTTTGTCTTTTTTCGTGACCGGTAATGGGATCGCAACCCTCGGTGTCGCGCCCGCACCGTGCTCAACCAGTGAGCGGACCGGTCTCTATATGGGATCCGAACCCTGGTGGGAGCGCCGCCGCGCTCCCAAGTGCCGCACTCTACTGAGTGCGCCACCGGGCCGGCCCAAGAATGGTTTTTAAATAGGCTATTTTCTTCTAATGTGATCTTTTTGGCAGGAGTAAAGCCATATAAATCGAATTAGTAGTAGTCTGATATAAAAGCTGATGGGATCCAGTGTAGTCTGATAAACAGATTTGAGAAATGGAGTCTGGGTTAGATTAGTTCTGTTGGGAGTAATTATCCTCATGGTGGGTTTCCTAAAATAGTAGTCCTAGGACCCTCTCTCAAAGCTAAAACCAGGGAACTAAAATGCAACCCATTCATCATCTCTGTTTTTTCTTCAATAGATTTTGTCTCATTAGTCAGGCGGGGGAGTAGTGCCTCTGCTGCGTTTCAGTATCTTCTTCCCCTCCCATGTGCTCTGTACTTTTGGAACAACATGGGTAAACTTCATCCCGTGTGAAGCACTTTGTCGTCTCAGACACACATCCTGTCTTAGATGGTGTCAGAATCACTGTCTCATTCACTTGTTTCAGACTGTCTCCAGAAGGGAGCCAAGCCGCTAATGGCTCCTATATTGTATTCCAGGCGACAGGTTGAGTGGGAGCCTGCCAGCAATTTGATTGAAGGGGTTTGTTTGACACTTCAGAGGCAGCCAATCATATCCTTCCTGCCTCACCTTAGGTCACTGATCAATGTCTGTGTCAATCTGGTGAGTAGCCAAGTGGCAATCTTATGGAACTTTGCAAAATTTAACTCTGCTATTGACTTCTCTGAATTGAAGATTTACAGGTCAACCACTTTGTGCCCCTACCTACCCATGAAAACAGATGGCTCAGGTGACACTGAAATGAGTGAGGTACATTTCAAGGTGGTGTGTGGGGAGATCAAGGGGCCCATCCCTACACAGGTGGGATCTCGATGTGCTGCTTCCCATGCACCACATTGATAATTCACCTCTTCAAGTTGCGCTGAGAGTTGAGGGCTGCCAGTTGGAGAGTGGGGTGGTGGAAACTGCACAATTGGCTAGAAGTTGAGGTAGTCTGGGGTGGGGGAGCTTAAAAGGAAAAGAAGACTTTTTTTTCTTTTTGACTGCAAAATGACACTATGAGTCAGCCAGTCTAGGATTTATGGGACGAAGAAAAAACTTTTAAAAATCATTTATGTAATATCTAGAGTCTGGTCCTGACAAGGTTTTGTACAATGTATGGAAATCATGTGTTAGAGCATTTCATTGAGTAGGATCTGCTGCTTAATTAGTTGAGCAATAAACCTGTAGCTGGAATGCCTAGTGCAAGTAGAGCTCTTGCCATCATCATTGTTAGTATTTGCTCCATCAAAGAATGTTGACTCCATTCCTTTGAATCCACAAATTAGTGTCCAATCTCCTGATTAGAACAGCTTTTTGGTTCATCTCATTATTTACATAGTTAGCTACAAACAACATTCTACAAAACCTTGACTGAATCTAGTTTAATGTTTGATCTGACTCCAGACATTACATGCCTTCAAAAGAAGTCAATAAGAAAAGACTGAAAGTAACATGCCCAACCTTCAATTTATCATTATCATTATTATTAATATCATTATAATTGAATGAGACTTCCTTACTACGGTTGCATGAAATGGCAATAGTCAAGGCTGGTCATGTGCTCTGTTTGTATTTCAGGTGATGGGAGTGGTAGGACCTTCCAGTGTTGCTGATGGATTACCCCTTCTTCATCTCAGCCCTTATCTCTCACCACCTCTGCCCTTCAGCACAGCTGTTGTCCGGCTTGTAGCATTGCAGATACAGGTGTGACTGCCTTACCTGTTTGTCACGCTCACTAAGTTGCTGGTGGAGGCACCACATCATGGTGTTCTCTTTTTTTCTGCAAAGGCTGGGCAAAATCTGTGAAACGAAAGTGTAAACATCTCCAAACTTTAATGGGTTTGGAGCTTCAACCCTGAGCTTGGCCCTAAGTTGTACTTCTGTAATTCTTCTTGAGATCTCAAAAATAGCAGAGTCATTTAGTCCTGCCACAACCTAAGGAACTACTTCAGTCATTTTACATGTGTGCAAGTACCTTCAGTCATTTAAAATGTGTGCAAAATAATGGTTCACAGATAATCAGCTCACAATTGTTAATTAAAAGAGGAGGAAATATTCACAGTCTGGTTTTAAATTATTTTCAGAAAGAATTGTAATATGAAATTCTTCCAAATGTTATTACTGGACTTTGAATACCTTAATTTTCTTTAGTGATTGTGGATTGAATATTGTGGGTGCTTTTTAAAAAAATTCTCCAACTTTATTTCTTAAAATTAAAATAATCATTCAAAGTCAAAAAGTGCAGAATCCAATTCCCCCGACTATTTCTGTGTGTCATGCAATTTTAGAGAGCAGTGAATCATCAGAAAGCTCTGTGATCAATAAAAAGTACACAATTGACACAAATGGATAACTCATGTATCCATTATCTGACAATCAAGCTTGATGGCCCATCATCCAGCGAATGGGTCGATGATAGAAAAGAGACTAGGTAAGAGCTGTGGCCACTATGCAAACGGCAAACAATGACATCCCTAAAGAAACACATTTTAATAACCTGTATACAAAAATCATTTATTTCTTTTTATGTTGTTTATTTTTTCATGGCCTGGATAAGGCCTTAGGGGTCGGAAGACTTTTAAATAACTCCCAAATGGAGCAAGTGGCAAGTTCTCATTTTCTTTCTTTTGTCTCTAAAATATTAATTGGTGGACGCATGGAGAGAATTAATGGGGAAATGAGGTTGTTTTTGTAACCTGACCATAAGTATTATAATTTTTCATTTAATATTCAAGATGTTACTGTCTTTTTAGGTATATAGCTCTCAGTTATGTCAAGCAAATGGTAAAGCATCAGTTTTGAGTGAATCTTGTATGCTGCGCAGACGACAATTGAACTCATAGTTTACAGGAGCAGCCAGCAGGGAGTCACCGTCTCCGTCGTGCTGTGTAAAATCAAACATGCTAAATGGGTGTGGTGGTCAATTAATCTTTTTTTCTATTATTGCTGCACAGGCTTTAAAAGAAGATTTTCCTTTAAGCCATGTGATCTCCCCTTTCACCAATCAAGAGCGAAGGGAAGGGATGCTTTTAAATCTCCTCATCCCATTTGTGCTCACAGTAGGATCTGGAAGCAAAGGTCTGATTAATTTAACTAAAAGAAATTTATCATTGTTGTTACATTTTCTTAAATGTCAGCCTGTTATTTCTTTTTCCTTTTCCCATGAAGGCCATCACTGAAGTCAATCTGAATGAGTTAAACAGGGTTACCTTAGGAAATAAGAGTTTTTATTCCTTTCGGTTTAGCCCACGTGGGACGAAAGTTTCTCTACTCTACTTCTTAGAAGATACATTCTATTTAAAATCATTCAGTACAGCAAATATCAGAACATCATCTCAATGTTTCATTTAAAAAAAAAGAAAATGGTATTAGTTTAAGTACTGTATGATGAGAATTGACAGGTGAATGGACTTTGTAACCTACTGCCACTGGGTTTAGCAGAAATCCTGCCACTGTCATTAAATTCCAATATATTTTCATTACTCTTCTTTCTTAGGGGGATTTTTCTTTTAGGAAAAGTTTATCTCAAATGTAAGAACAGTACATTATGAGTATTTGTGAAAAGAAAGGAGATTGAAATGGTAAGCGAGAGATTTGGCTAAGAACACAAGCCTTTGGGTACCAATTCTGGTGGCAGGAATGCTGTTTCTGTCCATGAGAGAAGCTGTACTTGGCCGGTAACACCCAAATTTCTAGGGTGTTCTAGTTTGGAATTGGAAAGAGAGCTGAATATTTCTGTGTCTAATGTGGAAAGTCTGCCTTATGACTGTTTTCTTTCTGCTTCCCTCTTCCAAACTCTGCCCCTCAGATAGCCCGTGGCTGGAGCAGCCTGAGGTGCAGCTGCTGCTGCAGACGGTCATTAATGTGCTCCTGCCACCACGGATCATCAGTACGTCCAGGAGCAAGAACTTCATGTTGGAGAGCTCCCCTGCCCACTGCTCCACCCCTGGGGATGCAGGGAAAGACTTACGCAAGGAAGGGCTGGCCGAGTCCACCAGCCAAGCAGCATACTTGGGTGGGTACTTTCTGTGTGTGTGTGTGTGTGTGTATGTGTATGTATATGTATGTATGTGTATGTGTATGTATGTGTGCATGTATATGCATATGTATTGTATGTGTACATATATTTGTATATGAATGTACATAGTTAAGTTCCATCTTTACTCAGAAAGTATTTAGGGAGCCTCAATCCAGAAAGTATTTAAAGACATCACTTGAACAGGAAACATTACCTTTGCAAAAGAGTCTGATTTCCTTGAGTAAACATATGCCAAAAAACAAAGTGCTTTCTTATCTGTAGTGCCTAAGTTACGTGGTTGTTTTTATAAGAGTGTCTGGGCATGTAAGGAAGGCATCTGCAATAAGGATTCCTCCTTGCAGATTAAGTACAAGATCACTAGTGAGATTTGGTAGCTGTTATCAGATCTAGACTCAGTCTAGTATAGGAACACTGCACTGCACAATTCATGGGGCTCATTGGTCTGTGTGAATGGAGCCCCTAAAGTTGAGCAGTCCACATTCTGTGCAGGAAGACATGGTGGCCTTGCAGTATATTATGCCCCTACTAACTATTTTTCTTCCCTTGCAATGCCATCTTTAAATCTCCATTGTGATCGTCACTCTAGGGAGGCCAGTCCACTTATTCTCCTCCGATAGGCTTGCCAATTCCCTCCCCCTTCAGCTCCTACTTTCCCATTACCCTCTCCTTGACTTTGACTTGGTCCTGACCCATGGAACAGTGGAAGGCCACTCTTTGGCACTGAATAAACAGGGCCGGGGGGAAAGACCATTCTCACCTTAACACTAAGAACAGGAAGGCCGGCAGCAGGGAATGTCAAAAGGAGAAAGTTGAGAACCTCTTGCCTGACATCTTTTAATCACCACAGCAGATCCTGGTTGAGAGTATAAGATGGATGTAACCACACTGACGAAAACAGGAGTTTGGAGTGTGGGGGGTGTTTGGACTGCATTATAAAGGGATATATTTGAAAATGATGCGATTAACAATGAGAATGAGAGAGAAGGAAAAGAAACAAGAAATTCACTGCATAGGACCTACGCACATGAGGGCTCAGTTGTCCAGGGCATGGAAAAGTAGGGTTCATGTAAAATCCAGACTCTGGCATAGAGTCCTGCATAAGGTTTGGGATTACACAGAGGATGATGGAGGACAGGGACTCACCATGTAAGACGAGGATATGGGAAAACACTTGATGAGTGTATATTTTCAGTGCTTTCCACTTTCTGCCTTTTTTTCTCTAGCAGCTAGCCAGTGCAAGGACCTTGGTGTTACAACACTGTGCTCTAACCAACTGAGCTAACTGGCCAGCTCCACTTTCTGCCTTTTTTGAAGGTTTTTTTCACTTTACATACTTGGCCAGGCTACTGAGCCTCTATTTTAAATTTATTTTTACATTTATTTGGAGCACTTACTATGCACCAAGCAGTGTTTTCTGTGCTTTACATTATCATCATATCAAATCCTCACATTCTCACAACAACTCTAAGATGTTAATGTTATTCTCATTTTAGGAGTGAAAAGGCCGAAGCCAGAAAGGTAGAACAACTTCCCTAAGGGCACCCACTTAATAAGTGACAGAGCCAGGTTTCAAATTCAAGCCATCTGGCTCCAGAGACTCTGGTCTTAAGCCCCTTGTTATGTACTGTTGTGTGCTGGGCTGATGGAGGTGAGGGTGGGTGGGAGAATGGCAGAGACCCAGAGTCAGCTGACAAGCACATAACAGTACAAATGTCATCAGAATCGGGGTAGGGAAAGAGGAATGTTGCTTTTTGTCCATTTGTTTGTTGAGGTGAAAGACAGTAATTGAGATAAACAACTACTGTGAAAAGTGATATTTTAGGAAGGATATGGATAAGGAAGAATCTTACAGCATCTCTCTCTGTTAGAGAGCATAGATCTCCCTGGAAATGTCCTAAAGATCGTAAAAGTGTATGTGACTCTTGAGGGTTTTAAGGAGTTGGATCTTTGTGTGCATTTAGCAGTTCAATGCACTCAAGTAAGATATCTGTGTTTTCCTAATCAGAATCAAAACATGTTTGTCACGCAAAGTTTTTAGATAATGAGATAGATGGGCTTTAAGACATGATCAAGAAGGCCTAGGTTTGCTTGATTATTGCCCAATGGCAGGCCCTGTGGTGAGAGCTGAGCTGGCAGAGGAAGCTCCCATTGTAGTCTTCAACATCTTTATGATACCTTGGTTTGTCCTGACACACTGCTTGGTAAATCTGCTTCCCGAAAAAAATAAGTAGATGTAGATCGTGAAGGGGCTGCCAGAATCTGGGAAGAAAGAGGTATTGTAAAAGAAATCCAACAGGGTTTAGTAATCGACATGATGTGAATTATGAGAGACAGGGAGGGGAATTGGCGGCGGGGAGAGAGAGAGAGGTGTTTTCATATATGGAAAAATATACTGAAACACATTTACTGGTTAACTCTGGGGAGCAGTTTAAGTTAGGGTCAGGAAGGGAATGGAGAAGGGTAAGAACTTAATTCTTAATTTTTTTTTAACTTTGTGCACCTCTGCATGGTTCAATACAAACATTTATTTCTATGCTCAAAAGATAAAAAAAAAAAGATTTTAAAACATCCATGTTGTAGCCGAGGATGTGAGTGATATGCCGGTATTCCCAAAAAGCCACTATGACAAAACTTTTGGAAAGTAAAACATTAGTCACACACATCATGTATATAAAACATTTCCCTTTAAATTCTGTGGACCACATTGTTCTATTTTTTCCCAAATAGTAGTTCAGTGCACTTAAGAAATACATTTGTGTTCTCCTAATCAGGATCAAAACATGTTTACCATACAAGGTTTTGTCTTGAAGTCCAGAACACTCTTGCTCAGGAGTGCACGTTAAGCTTTTGGAAACATGAAGAGAGTTTAGAATTTTGGAAAATTTCCCGATGCATAAATGGCTGTAGATGTGGGTAGGGTTCCTCCGAAACACAAACATACGGGCTCACTTTTGTCTTTTCCTGGTGTGAAGCGCTGAAGGTGATTCTCGTCTGCTTTGAGAGGCAGCTGGGAAGCCAGTGGTACTGGCTGAGCCTGCAGGTGAAGGAGATGGCTCTGCGGAAGGTGGGGGGCCTGGCCCTGTGGGACTTCCTCGACTTCATCGTGCGGACCCGAATCCCCATCTTCGTGCTCTTGCGCCCTTTCATCCAGTGCAAGGTGCGGTGTGTGCTTCTTCTCCTGCGAGTGACAGGTCCCTGTGAATGTGCTGCTCTCCATTAAGGCATGATTATGGCGAAGTGCTGATGGGACCTGCTGTAGCCAGTTGGCAGGATGTGTTAACATTGGCTTGATGAGAAAACAGCCCAAATGTATCACAGAGGATAAAATTTCATATTAGAAGAACCTTCACAGGAAGAACTTTATTAGAGTCTATAAAATGTTGTCCACTCCCCGTTCATCATCCTCCTCACCCCAAAAAAAGATTGGCCCAGTGAAATGGTCTGAAGAATGTTCTCTTATCTTCAGAGGCATGTCAGAGATTTGATTTTAAACATAAGAAAAAGACAGAATATTAAAGCATGTTTTTCCTCCAACCCCCTCAGAACTCATCTAATCTTTTGTTCTTTTCATGCCCTGATTTCTTAAGCCAGTGATTCAAACAATGTATTTATTAAGCACTTCCTGTATAAAGTACTGGTCTAAGAACTTTGCATTCATTACCTTATTTTCTCCTCACGAATATGAAGTAGGTACCATAATTAGCCCATTTTATAGATGGTAAAATAGAGGCCCTGAGAATGCTATACTTGCTTTCAGCTCCTGGCCCAACCTGCAGAGAATCATGAAGAGCTTTCTGCCCGGCAACATATTGCTGACCAGCTGGAGCGGCGCTTCATACCACGCCCACTGTGTAAGAGCTCACTCATTGCTGAGTTCAACAGTGAACTAAAAATTCTAAAAGAGGCGGTTCACAGTGGATCAGGTAAGTAAGCATGGGGTGTTTTGAATTTGTTTGAGCAATGGAACTCAAAACCTACAAAGAATCCCTCTTCCCAGGTCACCATTCTTTTTGGAACCACATATGAATTAGCCATTTGGGGACACTGGTAGATTTAACCACATGACCATTGTCAACAACAAAACAGAAATCAAAGGGGTACATAGGGGTTTAATTTTATTCCTTTTCTACATATTTTTTAATCTTTATTTTATCAGTTAAGCTCTCTCTTGAATGTTTAATTGGGGATAAAAGTTTGTTTCAATTCTACATTCCCTTTCTGAAAAGAGGAGACTCATATATATTGAGAATCTATTATATGATAGATTATTTCATAGATGTTTCCTTCAATCCACACAAATACCTGCAGGGTGCATAATTGAAAGAGCACTTAAAAAATGAGAAAACAGACTCAGTGGCAGTTAAATAAGTGAAACGTAGGAAGTGATAACAACCAGGGGATTTTAAACCACATCTGAGTGATTGATTATAAAGACTTTAACTTTTCACAAATTAGAATGCGGAGAGTTGAATTAGAGTTGTTGGGCTAGAAGTTATTATTATTATCATTTTTTTTTTTACATATTCAAAAGATTTTCTTTGGGAGTGCATTGTTTACTTTTTACCATTTTAACAGACTACTGAGAAAGGAAAATAAATCATTATCTGCCATTAGAGGGCAGTCATTACCCATACGTAGTATATAATATGTCCTTTCTAAAGCTTTTATTGTTGTTTGTAGACAATCTAAGACCAAAATTTTGACAAGTACAATCTTGGTGAAATCTACACATTGCCATTCAAATATTATGCTTTATGATAAAATAATCTTGTGTAGAACTGAGGAGTATTATTATAAAGGTTGTAATTTCCAGAAATGAAGACTGAGAACCCTTCTGATTTTGATTGTGGGGCTGATATCAGAATTTATTTATTACTTTCATATGCTTGTGTCAGGTAAGATATATTTTTCAGTGAAAACTAGCAAGTTGGAGCATACAATTCAGGTCAGAATTAACTAACATCCTACCAACCTTGGAAAATGAAATAGAAAAGCAATAAGAGAGGAAGCAAAGTCAAAGCATTTTACATTGTTAGAGATGTTATGCTTTCACAAGAAAACTATTCAATTACTGTTTAAGTACGTCAGTGACCAACATTGATTCACTTTTTTTAAAAAAAGAACATCCCTGCTTTGATTTGCTACTTTGTCCTAAAGATCATTTGTCTGGGACACTTTGTTTAACTGGATCTTTCCTAAAAAAATGCCAAGTGGTCAGGGCGGACTTTGAAGCAAACATTGGTTTTCTTTCAAGATCCTCACCATGCACTTCTTTTGGTCTCTCAATTCCCCTAGCCTACCAAGGGAAGACATCCATCAGTACCGTGGGCACCTCCACCTCTGCTTACCGCCTGAGCCTGGCCACCATGTCCCGCTCTAACACAGGCACGGGCACTGTCTGGGAGCAGGACAGTGAGCAATCCCAGCAGGCTTCACAGGACACCCTGAGTCGGACTGATGAGGAGGATGAGGAAAGTAGGTCATCCTGAAGAATCTGGGTGGGAGACACAGCTTGACCGTATGAGTGAGGGAAGGATTTCTACCCTCCTGACCTTTTCCAGTTCTGATCCTGTAAGCATTTTTGCAAAAAGGATTCAAGGTGGAATTGTGACTGATTCCATGATTACTAATGCCTACTCTTTTGTAAATTCCTTGATATTCTTGGTCAGTTTGGAAAAAATATAGGCAAAAAGTAAATATTTAGTGACCCCTAAATTTTCTTTGAGCTTACATATTCGACCTTTTCCATTAACTCTCATTTAAACTGTAGATAAGTAACTAAGGAAAGGGTTTATTCCCATTTCTCCTGGCCATCTTGCTTAAAGAGTTGCTCAGCACTTACAGGACCCCACTGGGCAAGGAAGAGTGGGACTTTTCATGACTTGGAAGAGACTGGTTGGCTACAACAGCCGTATGTAAACCAGCAGGCTGTCTTGTGGGGATACAACTCAAATTTGAGTTAAATGAATCCCCAGTGACTAGGTCAGCCCAGGACTTTCTAATGCATGTGCCAAAGATTTGGTGTTAATGAAATGAAGGAAAATCCACTGAAGAAATACTTCATATGTATGCTTACCAGGAGGTTTTAAAAAGCAGGGTGAAAGATTTCATTAAATGCCACTGCCGTTTAAGGCATTTTTAATGCATTGATTATGTTCCACTTATGTTTTAAGACTCACTGATGTAACATTTATAGCAAAGTTGTGCTGTCAGAGCCTCAAGAATGAGAACAAAATCTAGATCTCCACTCAGAGCCTCTCCATACCAAACAACAACAAAAAAACCCCACTCTGAACTAAATTAAATAGAGGAAAGGGAGTTGAGATTAGAATTTTAATTAACTAAGATAAATGAAAGTATTTAAATGTCTCACTACAGTTGGGTGTGTAAGAAAGGAAAAGAAACAAAAGCTTTGTCAAAACATTTAACAGGGGCCGGCCCGGTGGCGCACTGCTTGGGAGCGCGGCGGCGCTCCCGCCGAGGGTTCGGATCCCACATACAGACCGGTTCCCGCTCACTGGCTGAGCGAGGTGCGGGCGCGACACCGAGGGTTGCGATTCCATTGCCAGACACGAAAAAAGACAAAAAAGGAAAAAAAAAAAAATTTAACAGTAATATTTCCAGATTTAGTTTTAATTTATATTTAGTCAGATGAAGAGAGAATCATATTTTCCTGTACCCGACCTGCAGACATACTTGTGTCTAAATCACCCTGGTGACTGCCCATGGAAATACACCTGAGGTTGTAATTAGGTAAATCTTGAAAAATCTTAACCAAGAAAACAAAATGAAAGACAAGGATCAATGGTTTAAATATCTGTTAAGTCCTGGTAACAGTTCAGAACTTAAAGTAAAATCCATTTTTCTTTAATGCTTGAAGTAGTATCTCCCAGCAATTTTTTTTTAATGATGAGAAATTATACAATCTATCTTTTGTAGAGGTAAATATATTTTGCAAGTAACCTTATGAATAAGTAGATGACCTAACCAGTAGGAAGGAGCTAGGGAAGAAAATTAGAGAAGACATAAACAGGAATATAATTGGCCAAGAGCCAACACTCATATACTGGTGGGGGGTAGGGGGGATGGGGAGACATGCAATATTTTGCTAATTTCTCTGTTCTCATACATCACAACCATCCCAATGAAAGCAGGGTTGCAAACAAATGTTGCAGTGTGGTTGTGATGTGGGCGTGTATTAATTTATATGGGGAAGGACTTGAAAGCCAGATTGTTGACTGCTTTGAATTAAACTATTTTCCCATTCAATCATCAAACCTGTTTTAAGACCTATCAGGTATAAGACAAGGAACAAGGAAGTATGAGAAAGATATGTTCTCTGCCCTCTAAGATCTTAGACATTGTCTTGCAGAGGAAATGATAGGCATTTCCGATAAAGAACACTTAACAAAAGGGTTAATGGAAGACAGCACATGATTAATCACCAAATGAATGTTGGGGGAGTGTTAAGTGATATATGAGTTCAAATAAGGGGGAAAAAAATCAAAGGGATCTGTAGAAAAGGCTTTTGTAAAATAGCTCAATCTATCCTACCATGTTTTTCATATTTTTAAGGAACATTTGCTCATTCCCTTCTCTGTGAATACATCTAAAAAGGAAATATTATTCTATAATAAGAATCAATTTCAAGTCAGTTATTATATATCAAATTAAAATATCTAGCACTTTTCATATTCACCTTTTTAATTTAGAATAAGTTCAATTAGAAATATGATCACTTAAGGTATTTTAAATAAATGACATCAGATGATCTTATATGGCAGCATACTTTCACCAAAACCCAATATGTTTATCGAAGCATGTTTATAGTGTTCAGCAGCAAACATTAGCTTTTTTAGAATGAGGTCCATTGTCACAAATACCATGCTAAGTTTAACTTTCATATGGATTTGAGTACATTAATTTCTGCTTCAATGGAGAAAACAAGATCACATAAATTTTGAAATGTAGGTAAAAATAAGCACTTATTTCTAAATTTTCTAGTTTTTCAAATATTTTTCCTGAAAAAATTTGAAAATCTTTCTCTCAGCAGTCTAGAAATCATTAAACATACTGAATGCAGTTTTTGAATGTCAATTTATTTCTAAATTTTCTAGTTTTTCAAATATTTTTCCTGAAATCTTTCTCTCAGCAGTCTAGAAATCATTAAACATACTGAATGCAGTTTTTGAATGTCAAGAAAATGTACTTGACTCATTTAGTAACAAAGTCCCTTACTGAACTATTCCTGGGATCTTTAAAAAAATCTATATTCTAGTGTTTTGAAAATCTTTTTAATTTGCAGTTGCCTATTGACTTTCACAAATAATCTACTTGTAAAAATGGACAAGACATTTACATTTATTTCACAAAGGCTTTTCTAGTCCAGGAGGGTGGGAGATATGTGGACGTAAGGAATTATCATTACTCCAAAGGTCTTACTTAGTTTATCTGTGCAAAGGCACCAGTGATAATTTAGCTTTTGAGACAGCCCTAAGGTTGTACTCAAGCCAAGGATGGAACCCAAGTACAACTTGGGTTGGGGTTTTCTGATGATTTTCAAAGTTTTTATAACACTCTATTCCTTTGCCCCTTTCAGATGACTCTGTTAGCATGCCCAGTGTGGTAAGTGAGCAAGAAGCTTACCTCCTGAGTGCCATTGGAAGGAGGCGGTTCTCCAGTCACGTCTCCAGCATGTCTGCACCTCAGGCTGAGGTGGGCATGTTACCCAGCCAGAGGTAAAGAGCCACAGCTATCTTACACTCTGCATTTGGGGGCAAAGGTAGATTCTGAAAATGCATTCCTGTTATTCTACAAAGATTGAAAGAGAAGCGAGCAGCAGTAATGTCTATAGATAGACCATTCAACAAAGGACTTTTCAACTAGGTTCCTGCAGGCAAAAATTCACATAGTTTTCTAAGCCAGGCTAGTAGGAGGGATCCTGGTTTCTGATCCAAGCATTGTCTCTCCTTACATAGTCTTCTTTTTGGTTGTCAAATGACATTCTTGTATTTCAGATTTATCATCAGCTAAACTAATAATGAGAACTTGGCAAGAGTATAGGACCACCTTGATATATCTGGTAATGTTTAGGCTTCTGACATGTCATCAGTGTTCAGTCAGAGGCAGTGATGCCTAACCAAGCAGAAAAGGACCTATGCCACTATATGGGATCTTGGGCAGGTCATTTAACAATAGCCCACAGTTTTAACAAAAACCCACATTTAACAATAGCCCAACAGCTCTCTGTGCAATGAGGAGCTTGGCTAAAATGATGTTTAAAGTAACTTCTCTATCTACAGTTCTATGATCCTATGACTAAACCCTTTTAAACATTTTCATGTGTTCTCTGCCTTTTAAGAGTATAAGTAAAATAACTTCGAAGATATATATACAATAAAATTATAATACAGAAAATGATCTGACATGAGTCAAAACATTATCTAAGAACCAATGATATTTTCATTTCCAGAATTGAAATCTTTTAATTCCTTGTGTGATTTTAGTTAGTTTCTTACTTATTTTAAATACCTATAAATTCATTGTGGTAGAATTCACACATGGAAAATAATAAAAGTCAGGGCACTTTGTAATGATCAGACAAAACCAGTTTATATGCAGAAGTAATTATCCTGTACCTAAATCCTTTTGCAAATGGCTCAAGAATTACAGAGATGAAATAAAATTTGTGAAATAAAACCTAGGTTTGGAAAATATCAAAGAATAGGGGAAAATCATAAAAGGTGAACAAGTAAATTGCATGCTTTTTAAGAAAGCAATATTTTATATAAGTATCACTTAATTATTACAAAGATTAATAAGATATTAAAGTTCCTATCATTGTAAAAGATTGTTTTACCTACCATTTGGTAATTTTTTCTTTGAAAAGAAAGTCTCATAAATGAAATGTGTGAACAAAATAGGAGCCAAACAATAACAGGTCCAAATAAAAAAATGTAAAGTCACATAAGCATAACTATGAATTTATTTATATATACATATATACATATATATTATATTTTTTAATGTCTTCTGTAGGCCAGGATGAATTTATTTTTAATTACTAGCAATATGCAAGGTTCTATCAAGAATGAGAGAAAAATAGTAATTTATTTAAAAGTTTTATTTAGATTTACAGAACTGTAGGAATTTTAAATGGCATTTTTGTTTGCTTGTTTGGTATTTACCTAGAATAACCAGGCCATCAATTCCCTTTCTACATATCCATTAAGGGATTAATTTGTTTCCATGGATAAAATTTTTTCTACTGTAAAAATACTATGAATTTAAAAATATATGGAGAGAGGGGTAAACCCTTTTGTATTGAGTCAGATTTGGGAAGAATAGTGAAGGGAATATTGTCTCTGTACATTAGCAAAAGTGAACCTCTTCTTTAAAACAGGCTATTTTTACAGTGTACAATTAGGTAAACCTTGATTCTTTGGAGGCAGGCACTCCAGTTTTTTAAATGATTTAATTCCATCCAATTTAACAAGTATTTATTGAGTGCCTCATGGGCGTTTAGCTCAATGCTAGGCACTGAAGTAAAGACAGATAAAGTATAACACAGTTTCTGCTCACAAATCTCAGTTCAGCTACATCCAAATAAATCGATAAAAGCATTTTATTATTCCATCACCAACCTGACAGGTTTCTTCTTTTGGCATTTACAATTCAGTCACTAGCGAACGGAGAGTAAGGATGTAAAGGCAAGTTCCACGTGAATTTTCCAAGATATCTTTCTTCCATTTGTTTACTTGCATTTTCATTGCAAAATTAGCAGGGGAAGTTGGGTTCTTTCTTTGCTGTTTGCAATGGCATCAGTTCCAAGAGTGGTTGTGGCAGTTCATGGTAAGTGATTTCTGTGTGATAATGTCAGAATTTGCGAGAGAGAAGAAAGGGTCTTGGTCAATGAAACACCGCATATATAAAACAGGTTAAAAATTATAACCACCTAGCCAAATGGTCACTGAAGAAATGACAGTTTCATCTTCTACAGCCTCATTCTGCAATGCATTTCGGAGCTCATGGGTCCATTTAGAGCTAATTTTAACTCTTGAACAATAAATAGACCTCTTTGAGAGTCGTATGCATCCAAAGTCCTTCCTCCCCCATTGCCTCAAGTCCTATGTCTTGACAAACCCAGCACAAGGTGAAATGGTTGACTGTCTCCTTTTCCTTCCTTGTTCTGTTAAATTTATTTATTTATTTTTGGTTCTTGGAAGCAGAATATTGCATGCCTTTTTTCTTTTTCTTTCTTTTTTTTTTTTTTTTTTTTTTTATTTTCTTTCCCTAAATGCTTCATCTCCCTACCCCTCCTGCAGTGAACCTAATGTCCTCGATGACTCCCAGGGCCTGGCCGCTGAGGGCAGCCTCTCTAGGTACAGTGTCAATGCTACCTGTCTATTGGTGTCTGTGCTGGGAAACTAGCTGTTCCCTGTCTCCTCTGTCTCCCTGTCTCCTCTCGCCCCGTCTTGATACCTATTTCCATACCTTGCCCTTTGTTGTTCATGAACACACGAGCCTGGAAGTCAAAGGTGTAGCAAACCCTCCTTCATTTTCAGCTTAATCACAAATGGCCTAAAAAGGTTACAGAAAAACAAAGACAAAAACGTGGAATTCTCTATGGGACTTGTCCCATGGATATCTAAAAAGTTTGATAGGCCAAATGTTAAATTTATCCCCTCTAATCGTTCCCCCCACACTGAAATTCATTGAGAATTGTTTTTCATAGGCATTTTAATACAACTCCCCATCATCAAGAATCCCCTTATTAAATTGAGACAGGTCTTTTAGCTAATACCACAGATGATAAGAAAACAATAATGCTATAAGAAGAGTAGTAATGTTGGTACAATTTATGTAAGTCCTTCTCTTTGATGCATGCTATTTGGCAGGCTATTGTAGAAGCTTGTTCAAACATTTATGGAAAGAATGTCGTTCTAGCACAAAGTCGACTCCAAAACTTGCCATGAAATATTAGATACACACATTTCTTGGTAAGTAAGAGCAATCCTATGGTACAAACAATATAATGTCTTGGCTATTGGTTTAAAGCTTCAGAAAAGGGGACTGCACCTTTAACGCTCAGATAAACCACGTCAAACATTCCTAATCTTGTGCTGTTGATTCACACCTCTCAACCAGTCCTCATTAGGGGTAATGCTTCTTGTTCATCCTTGGACTGTCTTTGTTCCATCTCAAGAGAAAAACATTCCCTTTCAGGTTTGCATTATATAGTGAGTACAACATACATCCGCGTTTATTGCTTTATCACAAAGATGAGGAAATGTTGAGAGGCTGTTCCTGTCAAAGGTTGTCTTTTGGTTGGTTTTTTTTTTTTTTTTTCATTTTCTTTGCATCTTGTTCAGATTTCACATTTTCTTTTGTGATTGAAAAATCACATCATGGGACATATCTTTTTTTTTTTTTAACTGGACCCATAAGTCATGACATTCATTTGTGTTTGCGAGCCCTTGCCTTGACAGATCAGTCTCTTATTGGTGGTAAATGTGGAAGTGCTGCAGAATGCAGACTTAATTCCATTAGCAGGAGCTTTGGGGACAAGGAAGAAGTTTAGAAACAAAACAATCTTTAAGAGGGTTCCCTTAATTGTTCACAGTGTTTGAAGAAATCTGAACCAAGTCTAGCAGGATGACTATTGCTTTCATAGAATGCATTTGTTTAATGCTTAAGATTACATGTGAAATAGGAAAGCCTTGATTAGAAGATAATTCCAGTGGCCTAATGAAAGTAGAAGGTATTAAATCAGACTTCCACTTGGCTGCCTTTGTGCTGGGGCTTTTCCAATTAGGCCAAATTCTACTCTTGATGAGTAAGTACTCGTCCAGGAGTGGCAAGATAAGGCAGGAGTTTGAGTTTATTTTTGAATTCTCCAAAGGATTTGGCCCACTCTGGCTGGCTCAAGGTTCAAATGATTTATTTGAACTAAACCAATTCAGTCTGCCCTGGGTCCGGTGTAAATGGGAATAAACCCAAAGTTCTTGCTAGGTCAGACTGGTTCAGAGCCAAAGCTATAGATTTTATCTACAACTGAATTAGTCAGTCATGTCAGTACTTTGATGACTGTCTTAGATCAACTGTTGTTGATCTGTTGTTCCTGTAACTTTGTTTTAGTTCTGGGTGTCAGTCACCTAGTTGCCATGATCCAGAAATGGGAAATTGAGGTACTCACTTTGGATTCTGAAATAGTTCTATTAACGCGGAGGCATGCCACCAGCCAGTAGCACATCCACCTTTGCCACATGCTGCAAGTGTGTATCTCTTGAATTCCATTGTGTCACCAAGTTCTCTTTGGAGGAGAGGAGCGTTTGGCATTTACTAGGAGGTGGGTTCACAAAATAGGATATATACTTTTTATATTTGGTTTCCAGGCTTTCTTATTTTGGCATGAGACTTCTTTGTGCTTCAGATTCTTAAAATCCTAGAGCAGTAAGGCATCAACCATGTCAAGTACATTTAAGCACACACTCCAGCACTCAGGACCCAAAATATACCCAAAGTAGTCCTAAGGAAAATCTGGTCCCAAGAACTTAGAGAATATCAGGAAGCATGTATAAGGGGAAAATGCATCTCCCACCCCTGATCCATAACATTTTCAACACATTTATTGGATTTTGCTTTTGAAAGAGTACTTGTTTAGACCAAAGGGGCAAGAAGTTGGACTGAGTGAGCTAAATGAGGAAGAGACCAAGATAACCTGATGAATAGGTGAAAACCAATAAAAATTTTGCATACCTATTGAAAATTTCTTTGAATACACACACACACACACACACACGCGCGCACGATATATTTTCTCTCCAGAAGAATAGAGAGAAAGAGAAGTTGTAAAGCAGTTAAGATGGGATGTTTATACTAGAGAGTTAGATTTTGTTCAGACATGTTAGAACATTTTAAAAGACAGGAATTGACAGTGAACTCTAATTTAAAAAAAAGATTACAATGCTATTTGATTCTATAAGGGTAATTTTAATCATAGTGAAAAATAGGAGCGAGGCTCAAGTTTGAACATGTCTATAGAGCCTAGGTGAGATGAAATAAAAGTATCCTATTTAGTGGAATCCATCTCATGATCACCCACATTTTCAAAGTATAAAAACTTGGCAAGTACTCTCAAACTAAAAGGAAAAATAAACCAACCTTTTTATGAAACTGAGAATTAATGGCTAAGAAAATGTGTGCTGTGATACACAGATATGTACTTTGCCATTGCTAAATCAGTTCCTACAGGATATCTAAGATCCAGATTATTCCCCCTTTTCAATCTGATTCCAGCTTCTAATCTCTTAATTCTGTGGCACATAAAATCTATTTTCTTGCATGTTGTTTGCAGGCTAAGTAAATTTCAAACATAATCTTTTATTGGGAAAGTAGAAAGTAGGATTTAGTTTACTGTGTATTTCTCTGTTCTATACAAATGTCTCATGGCTCCTTCGGTGCAGGTGTTATGCATTCCCATCACAAGTCGATCACTTAGAGTAAATGACTATGCTGCGTGTCTTGTGTTCCACATCTAGATTTTTCTAACTATATTAAAATGGAAACCAAAGACACAGATAAAAACAATAAAAATACCAATTCACTTTTCTGCATGCTGATTTCACCCAGTGCTTCTAAAAAGTTTTATTTATGAAGTATACTTCAATCTGTAATCTTTTTTTGTAATTTGAGATGAGTGATATGAATTCTTATTTCATTACTGAATGGCCCCTTGTTCGCCCATCCTTTATTTTAAGAAATACTACTGGGTGTATATTACATTAGCAGATATATACATATTTATTCACTACAATCCAGGCCATCATGCTGAAAGGGGAAAAGAGGTACTTTGTGTCAGAATTATCTTCCTAACATTGTCTAAATTTCTCTAGCTTGTAAATTACTTTCTTGCATTTCAAATGAGGCGTTTTTGTTTTTGTAGACAGTTTGAGTCACATCAGTTCTAATGAGCCCCAACTGCATTTAATTCTCTAAAACCTAGACCATTATACAGTTTACCATAGTGGTATTTTTTGGCAGCTCAAAAATCCAAGAGATAATTTATTTCTAAATATGTTGTAAGATATTAGCTTCAATTTAGAAAGTTTTACTTGATTTGATTTTTATTGTTTTACTCTATTAGCCAAAACAGTGGAAATCAGCTATTTCTCATTCCTATGTTTAAAACTTTCAGGAAACTAGTTTTCTGTATAGAACAGAGGTTTTAGAACTTGTCTCACTACTCTGACATATCTTGACATAGTCTCAACTTTTCAGAGTTATTTTTCATGACCATGATACATGAAATATTTTAGTTATTCAAAAGGATCCAATGGCCTATTGCAGTTTAATATTTTAAAACTTGAGATCATCAAGTAAAACATAGTGTTTCCCTAAAGGGGAAAATAATTTTGATTATTGCAGTTGTGGTAGGTCAGGATTATGATAGGGTTGTGTAAAAAAGAATTGAAATAGAAAATGGCGTATAATATAGTGCAAACATCTGGTCTTCTCCTGATTCATTTTAGTATTGCATATCTTAAAGTCACACATCACAGATTCTTCAGATGACTGATATATTACATGAGATAGAGAGAAGCTAAATTGAAACTACTTTTTATATGCAACTCTGATTTGATATAGACCCCAGAAAAAGAAACGTGTTCTGCATAAATTACTTCCATTGCTAACTTTTCCAGCTATTTATTATTAATAAACTGTGTCCTAACTGTACACAGTTAAGCCAGCCTTTAATGTTCCAAATATAAACATGTTAGTTTCACATTTTTAGGGAGAATATAATTTATCGGCTGGGATATATTTCCAAGGACATGCTCTATAGTTTTTCTTTGATGTGTGCATTCTACAATGAGATGCCATACCATTTACAGAGAACATCTAAATACTAAAGCTATAAACTTGGTGCATTTCTTAGATATAAGCCTCTCTATCCATAGAGAAAATTTTGATGCTTATGATTCTCCCTTGGAATAATCATCGTGAAATTACCATTATGTTTTGATATTTAATACTCCCTGAGTAACTTGTATTTCTTTTCTTTTCTTGCACCATTTTTTCTCACAATCTCAGATTACTGAATAAAAATGAGACAAGTGGACTGCCTCGATTTCATTTTCTCTACCCAATTATTTTCATAACATTTTATTTCCTACTTCCTCTTAGTGTTCTAGAAGCAATAAACTCATTACAAACATGAAATGTAAAATAATAAAGCATGCTATATTCATCACTTTTCATATTCAAACCACTTTACATCAACTAACTTCTTTTCTCTACCTTAATGGGAGGTAGTTGGTAAGTATTAACCTCCCTTTACGGCCAAGGGAACTGAGGTAACATTTAGATGTCAATGAAGAATCCATTCTAATGAAAGCTTTGCTTGGTATTGGGAGAAACTTGTTTCTACTTTTGTGCATATGGTCAATTCAATTGAATACTCTTTTCAATTTAACGGACACGTGTTAAAATGTATGATTAATAAGGAGATGTCATTTCAAAGGTGCCAGCAACATAGTCTGGATTGCTCATCAGAATTTACTGCATTGTTCCTTTGGGGTTATTTTCCATCTTCATAGAAAGGTCATATATGTATGAGGATAATGTACACTGATCTTTTGAACTTCATATTCAGGAGAATAAGAAAGTTTAAAAACACCTGTCTTTTGTACTCTCTAGGGAATTTTTTATTATATACCCCAAATGGTGTAATTACATCCCCATTACATAAAAACTTTGACAAACCCCATTTGTGAATCATTGATTTTCTTCTAGTGGAAATTTAAGACTTTAAAAAAATGACAGGTGTGACTGTGTCAGCTATATGATGATTAACCAGTTATTAGTACAACAGGGGAAACATCTGATTGCCCAACTAGCCACCAATTTCTCTCCCTACAGCTGCAACTTGGTATTTAGGTAGCCTATTTAAAAAAAAAAAAAAAAAGGAAATGAATGTATATAGTCTTTCTTTTTTCTAGACAGTTGCTGACTCTGGATTTCTCTGTGGAAAATTTTACTCTAAAAACTTATCTATAGATGACTCTCCTTTTGCAAAGCCAAAGCAGAAGTAATTACCCATTAACCACATAATCACATTGGCATCATCTGCAGCTTACAATGTTCTCTGGGGCACAGTATATTTCTTTTTTCCACCCACAATCCCATTATAAATACCTATTATACATGCATGTAGAATGGAAAAAGACCATGGGCCCATGTCAGTATTTTCAGCTTAACCCAACACTAAAATAGCAACCACTGCCAGTACTCATCTTTGCATATAAAAGACACACATACACAGTAAATTTGGGGGGAGCAGATTGTTGCTTCTATAAACTGCACAATATGTTCGAGTGCAGTTACTCAATATTAAAGCTCCTGAGTTATAATAATAGCTTAATTACTTTGCCAGCCTTTTAAATCTAAAACCATTTTTAAAAAACATTTAATTATCTACCCACGTGACTATTCATTTACTCAGTAGTCACGGAGACATCAGGCTGCAAACATATGTTGAATGTGCCCCTTCACCCAAATGGATTCTGTGTCTGATGTGTTTGATATTTGTCCATCTTACTTTCATTTAAACTGAAACTTTAAAAAAGTTGTTCCCATCCATGTGATAGAGTTGTTTGTGTTTGTTTGTCACCACCTTTTCCCTTCTCCTTGGAAAAAAAAAAATTGAGATTAGAATATGACATCTTAAACCTTTTGGTGGCTTCCAAACCAGGGGTGTGATCGAATCAATGTTTTGCTGAAAAATAGATACATCAGTGATTGAAAACAGAATCTCAATTTTGGCAGTTTGGGGCTACAAGGCCTTGTCCTCACTCCCAAACCTTTAAAACCCCCCATCCCAGGGATTCTTTCCCAACCATCCTTCAAAGATAATGGAATCTTTGAAGTGACACTAGTGGTTTTGCCAAATACCCACCAGAGAATTTTCTTCCGTGCTCTCTCCAGGGTGCACTAACACTGTTGATGCTTGACAGGGTGGCAAGTGTACAGAGTGAGCCTGGCCAACAGAACCTCCTCATTCAACAGCCACTGGGGAGGAAGAGGGGCCTGAGACAGGTAAGCAGCCCCTGCCTGAGAGGCTAGGAGAATCATCCTGTGAAATAGAACCTCTACTCAATTTTTAATATCTATGTATATTAAGATTATATTTTGCCTTCTCCCTACCTGAAATAAACAATACAGAGCAACTTTAAAACATGGTAAGTTGCTTAGCAAGCTGAGAGTTTTGAGTTTCTATTTAGATTTGAAACTTCTTGGCAAAGCTGATTACTTAGTAAAGTAAATGGGCCTATAATTCTATTTGTTCCCTATCCAGAAACCTTCTCTCCCAGCCAAACTTACTGACAGAAGATTTATTATACAGTTAATTGAAGGACTGTTTCTGCATAGAGGCAAAGATAAAGTCCTTTCTTCCTCATTTCAAGATTAATGATTTAATTTAAAACTGAAATTGAAGTAAAGATCATCTTTACAAAATCTAAATGCGGTTTTGCACTGTTGCCTCGGTGGGAGCTTCCCAGCACTGACACGGGTACCAGACACTTTGTCAGCATCTGAGGTTTTTTTAAAATAAACCTCCCCTTTGAAAGTTGGCTTATGTTCAACTAAAACTTTTAAATGAGCAAAGGTTGATCACTGAGCAATAGTTACTAGTTTTGCATCCTAAAATCACTGAAATTCTCAAATTTACAATTTTAAATTATGTTAATTCATGTTCTTAGGATATATAAAGGAGTAACAATTGGGAGATAAACTGGTTAAAGGGGATGCTAGAAAATACTTATATAGTCGTGGATGTTTTGACAATGATGAACCGCATATAAGACAGTGGTCCCATAAGATTATAATGGAGCTAAAAAGTTCCTACTGCCCTGTGAGGTCATAGCCATCATAACACCATAGTGCAACGAGTTACGTAAGAGCCATAAGGTATACCAGATAGCCTAAGTGTGTAGTAGGTTATACCATTTGGGTTTGTATAAGTACATTTTATGATATACAAAACAACAAAATGCCCAATGACACATTTCTCGTTAAGTGATGTGTGCCTGCAGTTAAATATGTAGAAAAAAGTTTATTCACTATAAATGTAAGGAACAACCATAAGAGTCCACAGAAACATATCCTCTGAGCACAGCGTTTTTTCCCCCAGGCGGTCAGACCTTCTTGCCAGTTTTATTCTGCCTATTCTCTTTAGCTAAGACGTCCTCTTCTATCACGTCAGAAGACTCAGACTGAATCCAAAAACCGCCATGGGGCTCGGCTGTCAACCACTCGCAGGAGCATTCAACCTAAAACAAAGCCATCTGGTGAGGCCTCCTGTGTCCCTTCTGACTATACCATTGATATGATACCATGCCGCTCAGCTGGGAAGGCCTGCAGAATCTGAGTTGATGCAGATAAGCACCTTTGGGGAGTTGCTAGGTTAAGGGAAGAAGTTTCTCAGAACATTTCAGTGACTTTTTTTCTTCTCACCTTCCCCAACCCCTGTTCCTACTCCTGTGAACCTAGGAAAATGGAAGAGTCTGCTAATACTTTAAAATTTAACCATAGAAAATGTGTTTTCTTTAATCAACCCAGAAAATAGATTTGTTACATATCTTACTAAAGATAAAAGTATCATGACTAATAGGGACTTTAAAGTCCTATTGGCAGTTGTTATGAAGGATGATCATCTTCACCTAATGCTCTATGCAAATCATGTTTTAGGCTATTTATGTAAAAATGATTTTTCTACCCAAGTTCTACTCTTTGGAAGAAGATGAAATCAAAACATGTACAAAATGGTCAAGCATGCTCTCATTTATCAATAAACCAGCAATGTCTTTATTAAGAAAAGCCAGGAAATACATTAAAGCCAGTTATTAATCGCTGACAGTCTGATTCCCCCAATTGTCACCCCCTTTTACTGCCTCATCTTTGACCTACAGCAGACCAGAAACGATCTGTGACCTTCACTGAAGCTCAGCCAGAGCCAGCAGCTGCCCCAGTAGACACATTTCCTGCCACAGGCCAACCACAGGGCTGCAGCCCAGCCCCATCTAGGAAACCAGAGGGAATGGACGAACCAGTGCTCACATCCTCCCCTGCCATAGTTGTAGCAGATCTCCACAGCCTGTCTCCCAAGCAGGTGAGGGCACTAGAGAAGTAGGCAGGGCTTGCTCCCTGCATATTTATTTCTAGGAACCACTTGTACATGCAAATTTATTCCAGATAATGAAGTCTGGGTCTGCCTTGTTATCCTAACAGACACTGGTCCTGCCATCTTGAAAAAGAAAATCTACATAAAGTATACAGCCAAGAATATATCTACTTAAGAAGGACCAAGGGAGGTCTTGGTAATCTCAGTTATGAAAAACCTAAGAGAAAATATTTTGTAGCTAAAATAATCATTGAAGAAAGGTATATAATACATAGTTGAAAGATAGTTTAATGAAAAAAACCAGTTACCAATTTAGATGACCCCTTTAACTATAGAGTCTTCTGTGTCCTGAGAGGAGCTTTTTGTTTTTATCTTTTTCTTCATTGTTTTGATAATTTTCTTCTTAATATTTTTCTTGTTTTAATATTTTTTTTCTTTTGATTTTTGTAAATAAATTTCTATAGGTTCCACATTCTTCTCATGTGGTATTTAAAGAAAACCAAGGGGCAATATTACTGTATACATTTGCCTAGTCTTTAGCAGTTAAAAAGTATTTCAACACTTAACCATTATTATCTCATTTGATTCTCACAGTCTACAAGAGCAGCAGGACAAAAAGTTATGCTCATGTTACAGGTTAGAAAACTAAGGTTTAGAAAGCAGAAAGGGCCTGTGTAAGATCTTACCTACAGCAAGGCTGGAACTGGGACTGGCTTTCTGATTCTTTGTCACATTACATCCAGACAATATTTTGTGATATTCTTCTCTGGTCCCCATACTACCTTTCCATGATGTTATGATCCTTTTGATCATAGAGTGAGCCTGTCTCCGCTGAAGGAGAAAAGGAGGAGGACACAGAAGCACAAGGTGCTGCCGCACACAGCCTCCTCTCTACTCAACTCTCAGATCCTGATGACTTCACAGGCTTGGAGACATCCAGCCTCCTACAGCATGGAGACACTGTCCTTCACATCAGCGAGGAAAACGGCATGGAGAACCCCCTGCTGTCCAGCCAGTTCACTTTTACTCCCACTGAGCTGGGGGAGACGGATGTAGTCCTAGATGAGTCTCATGTTTAATTCTGTATCTTGTAAGCATTGCAGGTAAAGAGAAGACTTGGAAGGGATCACTCTGCTGAAAGTTGAATATTTTTGCTTGAAAAATAATAATTATACGACAGCACTTTACATCCAATGGGTGGCACAAATCTGAGTAGATTTTGCTGCCAATATGCATAATGTTTCATAAACATCTTAAAAATCGATGGCTAAAAGGATTTAGTTATGTGAAAAACCATAAAACCAGGGAGGAATATGGGGAAAGAGCCATTTCACTAAACATTGTTTATGATTTAAGAAGCCTTGAGTAGATGAAAATAAATACTATTTCAGTGCTGCTTGCATAGGAATATTTACAATATGTTCTAAAAAAGAAATGCAATTTTTTGGGCCGGCCCGGTGGCGCACTGGATAAGTCCGCCGCTTGGGAAGCGCGGCGGCGCTCCCGTCCGAGGGTTCGGATCCCACATACAGACCGGCTCCCGCTCACTGGCTGAGCGAGGCGCGGGAGCAACACCGAGGCTTGCGATCCCGTTGCCGGTCCCCGGTCCGGTACGGGGGCAACACTGAGGGTTGCGATCCGTTGCCGGACACGGAAAAAAGGACAAAAGACAAAAAAATAAAATAAAAAAAAAAATAAATAAAAAAAAAATAAAAATAAACAAATAAAAATGTTTAAAAAAAAGACTTACCACCAACAATAACTAAAAACAATTTTGTTTTTTGTTTTAAGAGAAAGATCCTATTATGATTTCTCTTATAAGCAACACTTTTCCTCTGAGGAATGAACCCTTGAATTCCACGATCATCTTTTTTCTTTTCTATTATTCAGAGT